ATAGATACATAAAAATTTTGTGGATTGCTTAGAAGTTGCAACTCTATATTGTCTAAGAAATATCTATAAATATTTATTAAAATATCTGATAAAGTAGCATTAAAAATGATAATTTCCTGGAAATATCCGAAAATATATGTACTTTCCATTGATGCCGATATACCTTTCCCTTACTTCAAAAGTGACACAATTAAAAAAACGTAATTTTCAAATTATTATCATGAATGAGTTAACATTGCTTATCAAAAATAAACTAATTTAACATAAAAAAAATTATCAAAATTGTCGCAATTAAAAAAGGAAGTTAAAGAGTTATAAAACAAAAATGATAAAAATGACATCTGATCATGTTAAAATATACTTTTTTTTTGCACACGATATTATTATTTGATTAATCAATTATTTTCTACCAAGCCGAAAAATAGTTTCTCCCCATTTTTGAAAATTTAGTCTTTTAAGTTGAATTACTCTTGAAATAAAAGAGCGTAAAAAAAATATATAAACTATGCGTAAATGTACAAATTATACTACATATAAATATTGTAAAAATGTATATTTACCACGTATGTGAATGTAAATCGTGAATGACACAATTTCAAGTGCTTTAGAAGCGAGTACAATTTGCCGCAATCCAACGAGCACCAGGGGCAGTGTAGGTCTTCGCAGGCCTCCGTTTGCTGCCGGCTGTTATTGTTGTACAAAAATTGATAGACTATCTGCTGAGTTCCGTTAGCATTAGTGTCCACCTTCTCGTTGGAGATGCTCATTCTCGACGAGGGCGTTAGCGGACTAGGCGTTGGCAGTGTCGCGTTATTATTATTATTATTATTTGTGCTATTGTTATTGTGATTTACGGAAGAGGAACGTTCAAAACCAGCTGAAAAAATAATGTTAAACATTTAAAGCGACGTTTTTGTGTGATTCAGTGCATATATTGCATATAGTTTCGTTCGCAAAATAACTATAGAAAACTGACCGTTGGCTGACCGATTCTCTTTATTGTCACCGC